TCAAGAGGAAGCCAACCATTTATTTTCTCTTTTTACCTGCCAAGATGACTACAGATTTGAACAAAACACACACTCACCCACACACACAACTTTTATTTTGATAATTGTTTAATGTAGTATTTTTACACTTTACTGTAAGGCAGGGGTGTCAAACTCAGTTCCTGAAGGGCCGTAACCCTGCACGTTTTTAGTTGCAACCCTGCTTCAAAACACTTAAGTGAAAGTTTCAAACAAACCTGAAGGACTCAATTAGTTTGATCAGGTGTGTTTAATTAGGGTTAGAACTAAACTTTGCAAAGCTGCAGCCCTCCAGGAACTGAGTTTGACACCTGTTCTGTAAGGGAATGTAATTTGTCAAATAAAATTTACAGTCCAAATAAGTGCAGTGCAAATGTCTAGTTACTTGTATTGAAATATTTCAGGGTTTTTCCTTGTTCATAATGAGATGGAGGTGGTATATCCAACTTCATCATTACCCATCAAATGTTATCTCCTCTTTAATCCTTTGCTCAAGCCTTTACTAATGGTCAGAAAGCAAGCCATTGTGTAAAGCTGGTTGATGCTCGCTGTAATAGAGAGAGATGATGACTGTTCAGCTTATGTTGCTTAACCCTGCAGATGAGATGCTCAAAGTGGACCCTCAGCCGAGCGATGGACACTGTCTCCCTCACCTAGTTGCTCTTCCTTTGAACACACATATCATGTTGAAGGATGCAAGTTCTGGACCTAAATCAGATGTAATGCATGTAGATGTATAAATTAGAAAGAAATGAAACTGCTTTAAAATGTATTAGGTTTTACATATAAAGTATACTTCAATTCATTAAAGTTCATGCTAGTTAATACTACAGTGTGCTGTTGCATTCATTAACAAAGTTGTAGATACTGCAATATATACAGTATAATACAGTTTATTATAGTTAGTATGGTTCAAAAACGTAATATTATTTACTATAAATACTATTAAAACTTCTTATTTCATGTGGGTTGAATCGTATCTTTAGAACCATATAACATGATTGAAAGCAGCTCCTAGATAACTCATAACTGTTTTCTTATATAAGAAACAAACAAGAGAAGCACCCAGCACAGTCCTTAGCTTAGCTAACAGTATTGAACATATAGATAATTATTAAAAAATCATAACTTACCCTCTGATTGCTCGAGGCCTCCAACAACGTGAGCTGCCCTGTGTGCTGACAAACAGAAACGCCCCATCTCATTGGCTGGCTCTAGCCAATAAACTGGCTTTGCTGCTCTTTTACTGGTATGTACATTTCCACAGAATTTATGATTTTTAACAAGAATCTCTTCAGAAAAGAGTTTAAATAAACCCTAACTAATGAAATAATCGTGGGAAATTATTATTTTGCACCTCAGTCCTGTTGGCTGCTGGCATTGTTCATTGGTCAGGCATCAGCCAATCAAACAGCTTTACACCTGCCCCGCCCCTCCCCCGCCCTGCGCTGCTCACGCCTCTGCGAGTGCACAGATGAGTTCTGCTACAGAGATCGTGGGAGATGTGTTGCAAAAGTCAGAGCGCGGGAGATTTGTAGTTGTACTGACGAATCTGAGAGGTTGTGAGTGCCGACCTGTAGTTGTAGAGCGAAGATGCAGTCAAATTTGCCTTGCACACGTGTGTCTGTCACTTTGTATTTGTGAATGACATTTTACAAATACACAACTATTAATCTGCAACTTCCAATTTAAAACACAAGTGTGTGGATTGTTGTGTGTGTGTGCAAATCGAGGATTTCAGCTGTTCACATCAGAGCTGTAAGTGTACATTTCAACCTACACATACAAATATTATTATCACAAGTGCTCACATTTACATTTGCAAGCTCTCGAGTTTCGCAACAGATTTACCTTCATAAAAAACCCGCTGTCTCTTGATATGCAGTTAAATAGTTACGCTCAATAAAAATAGAATAAAAAAACTTAGTTGGAATAATATCTTTAAATACATCACAGTGTTTCCTCTAGGATTTTTTCCAGCTGTGGGGACAGGCCTTTTTCACACATATCTACCAACTACCTGTGGCGTTTTTTCAATGACAAATGTCGTGTGCACAGTATTACAAGTCGAGATCGCATTTATGCAATACAAGCATGCGAATCTCTTTGCTTGCGCGCCGATTTCTTCGGCTCAAGCACAAAACTTCTTTCACGCCCCCTCAAATATACGCTGCTCAAGCGCAGATCTTCTTGTGCGCTCTCAAATAAATGCGGCTGAAGTGTGATTTAGTGCATTTATGTAACACGTATGTCTCTCAAACATTTATTAGACTTGCTAGAAATATTTATGAATGACTCCAATAGACCTACAGAGTGGTATTAATGCGTCCTGAAGTAAAGTGAAATGGCTATCCGTTGTGTTTGCTGGCCTCACGCTGGAGTTCACGCTGTTATAATTCACTTACCTTTTAATACGTTTTGGTGCGATTACCACCCGCTATTAAAAAACACCCCTGCTGATTGTTTTGAATGAAAAGCTGTAGTGTAGCCGTGGCGGTATCAATTTTGGGGTGGCGCCCCACCATGGAAGAATAAATGTAGCGGAAACCATGTAGCTGGAATAATATCTAGCCACCCATCGCGCTCCCTGCCACCTTGGAGCCTTCGGATTTGATCACTGCCATTGCCATAGACCAGGGGTGCTCAATCCTGTTCCTGGAGATCTACCTTCCTGCAGATTTCAGTTGCTACCCATAACAAACACACCTGCCTGTAATAATCAAGTGGTGTTCAGGTCCTAATTAATTGGTTCAGGTGTAATTGATATGGGTAGCAACTGAAATCTGCAGGAAGGTAGATCTCCAGGAACAGGGTTGAGCACCCCTGCCATAGACTAAGGGTTGTCTACATTTGCAAATGCTTTTATATGTTCTAATCACATAATTTGTAAAAATAAAATATATAATAATGTGTCAATAACCGTTTTTTCCAATTATAAATTAATAGCAATGTTTTTCACGTGTTGGTGTGATACTTTGTAGTGTGCAATTTAACACAATTGCCTCTAGGAGTCGCCAATGGAAATAAAACAAACACACAAGAAATGCACGTACGCCTGACATGAAGTTGTCGTGGACCAACGCACATGTGAATTTCATCGTAAGTAAATCCAAACGTGTGCGTAAAATCTGGTATACGCAAAGTTTTTGTGCACACGCAGCGTTGATACATGAGGCCCCTGGTCACTCATTCTTCACTCCTAAAGATAAATTTTATTTCCCACAACTATACAGGTGGCAAGCATTTATAATTCCGAGCAGTTCATGGTTACTTTATAACCATTATTGATTGTTCGAAGGGGAAAAGGTACGCTGAAAATCTTAATAAGTTAACTGAACAAAATTAATTGAGTAAACTCGTTGCCTAAATTTAATTGAGTAATGGAGGCTCCCAAAACTTGCATATTTAAGTTTGCCGGTTTGGTAGATTATACTCAAATTGTTCAGTTCAGTGTGTGTGTGTCTGTGTGTGTAATTACATATATACTATGAAAAAAAAAATTCAAATAAAATTAAGTAGCCATTTATTTCCATGGGTTTATGGTGAATATTTACACATGAAGTCTTGTTTTCTGATTTAAAAAAAAAGACCTTGCACTGAAAGGTTGCACATATTAGAATTGTACATTCAAGACTACATTAAAAATGACCTATTTTTTCACAGGATTAATTGTGATTTTGAGCTTAGTATACTTGAAATTTTAAGTTTATGCATTTTCATTGTATACAAGTTAAATTAACTCATGACCAAAATGCTAAATTTTAAGTAACGTTCATTCAACTTTACTTGATTGTTTAAGTATAGACAACATTAGGGTTTATAGTGTACTTTATTGGCAGAGCCGTCACAAGGACTGTGGCAAGTGTGCGACCACACAGGGCCTCGCACATCTACATGGCATCATGCAAAATACTGTAGTAACTGCTGATTAGGATGCCATCCACATATCATGTCTAAAGGCATGTGGAAAATGCAAGGCCACTTTCTTCACTAAAATACCTTCAATAATATAGCACGTTATATTATCTACCAAAAAAGTTATACACAAGACTCTTTTATACACAAGGCTTTGTCTGACTGGAAAATCCAAGTCTACAGCTGCCAAAACAGTATTCGATACTTCAGATCCCAAGCTGGAAGAGAATAAACTCCGTGCTTTGGAGTGGGGTTAGGGGGTGTTCACACAACTTTTCAGGGTGTGGTGAACAGGACAAAAGGCCTCGGAGGTTTAGCAAAAGTGTTAAAACAGCTGGCTAACCACTTAGTAAACATTTCTTTGAAGAAACACACATACACTCACCTTAAAAACAACAACAACAAAAACAAATCAGATACACTCAAAAAAAGCAACTTTTGCTGCTTGTCCAAACTACTTATTTGAGTCGAAACAACACAACCACTAATGTTTTGGGGAGGACAACGTAATTGTTTTAAGTTCAATCCACTTAAATTTGTAAAAATTTGATTAAATTAGCGTAATCGAATTACGTTGGGACAACATGATGGAATTGTGTGAAACCCAGCATTTTTACAGGATAGATAGATAGATAGATAGATAGATAGATAGATAGATAGATAGATAGATAGATAGATAGATAGATAGATAGATAGATAGATAGATAGATAGATTCATAACTGCCTTTGTTAGATTTGTGCAGATGTGAAAACATCTGGAGTTGCCCTTAATACCGCAGGACAGTTGTCTTTTTTTAAACCAAGTACTATAAACACACTTTACCTCACACTTCAGGTGTTAAATACTCTACAAAACGTAAAGATATAGACATTTAGTAAAATATTAAGTATTTTAGCGTGTTGAGCTGATGTGTAACTTGATCCTCCTGATCACATCTCCAGCCTCTTTGTTCAGACAAACCATCGAAACAATCTCAAAATACACAACTCAACTCTTCCATCAGGACACAAAACCATATCAAAAGTTAACTAAAGGTCTTTAAACATGTCAATAGACGCCGACTTACATAGTGTTTGTTGGGGTTTCTTCTCTTTTGCACGTCTTGAACAGTTACTTCTAGTACAGTCCGCCGCGGCATGTTGTAATAATCTCAGACTACACGCAGATACACGATCACGTTCAGACCCGCAGCGCTAAAAAGCTGATAAAAGTTTTCCGCGAGGATTTACGGGTCATTCGTTTATTTGTATCTCCGTTTCTGCGGGTTTAGAGTCCACGTCGGATTTCCTGCAGTCTGGACCAAGCGAACTCCCAGCCTATCCCAGCTCACCGACTCTAATTTAATTAAAGCTCTACGCATTTACGCATTCTACTATGGAAACGGTTAGCTCATGAATATTAAATATGTATCACGACGTTCGCGTTAGCGATTGGCTGAAAGGTAAGTAGGCGTTGGACAGCTAGCGAATAAATTATTGCATAAATGGTAAACGACCAGGTCATGAATATTTATCAGGTCACGTAATTAGACGATTACTGGAATGCCCCGCCTAAATATATTTATATTAATGAGCTTGCCCTTGGACATAGTAGGAGTCGTCATTTTTTGCTCATTCGACACCAACCCAGTGGGACAATTTAAAGGGGAAGAGTAGACATTTCCTTTGACACAGTCACAGAGGTAACTTTTTTGTAGCTTTACCCTGGTTTGTTTTGTTATTTCTGCTACTTTTAACTTAATTTATTTAGTTTAATTAAAAAAAATAAATGAACGGTAGGAATACCAAAAACACAAACCATGATGTTTTGTACACCACATTCAATGTTTAAAGTCAGACTATAAATTATTCTGCATAAAATATTTTAAAAGTTGTTGTGTTGTTGCAATTGTAATACAATTCAATTAATAAGTAATTTAATAAGTAATATAAAGAATTTGGTAGCAACATACAGGAAGAAGGTCGCTGGTTCGAGCCCCGACTGGGTCAGTTCCCCCCCATCCAAACACATGTGTGGTACAGGTGAATTGGGTTAGCTAAATTGTCTGTATGTGTGTGAATGGGTGTGTATGGATGTTTCCCAGCGATGGGTAGCAGCTGGAAAGGCATCCGCTGTGTAAAACATACGAAAAGAAAATGAATGAATGAATATAAAGAATTCTCACAACTTCCGGCCACAGCTGTATCATTTCTAGCAACAACCTCAAAATATGAACAAATCACATGGTTTTGTTATTATTATTATTATTCATTCATCATTAATTTTCTTTTCGGCTAAGTCCCTTTATTAATCCGGGGTCGCCACAGCGGAATAAACCGCCACCTTATTCAGCATGTTTTACGCAGTGGTTGCCCTTCCAGCTGCAACCCATCTCTGGGAAACATCCACACACACTCATACACTACAGGTATTTTAGCCTACCCAATTCACTTGTACCGCATGTCTTTGGACTGTGGGGGAAACCGGAGCACCCAGAGGAAACCCACGCGAACACAGGGAGAAAATGCAAACTCCACACAGAAACTGACCCAGCCGAGGCTCAAACCAGCGACCTTCTTGTTGTGAGGCGACAGCACTACCTACTGCGCCACTGCATCACCTATAATTATAATAATAATAGTTATTATTATCATTATTATATTGTCCTTATTTTACTCAACATTGCTTTGAAAATACCCATTTTTATTTAAAAAACATTGTGCTTCCTAACAAATCGTTGCAATATTTTTTTCTAGATGTTTATCTACAGAGTACATTAACAATAAATAAATAAATAAATAAACTGAAACGAACAGAGTATATTAACATAAAGCAAAAGAAATTCAGGATTGCTATGACTGAGTTTATTTTAGACCTCACTTGACTTGTTTAAATGATAAATGGGGTAAATAAAACTGTCAATTTGTTGCAAACATATAAAAGAAAACATAGACTTTGGTCTTCCAATCAAAGACATTTTCATTAACATTATAAAAAACCACAACAACTAAATGATGTGCAGTTTGTACTCTGAGGCTTTTATTTTTCATCCAAATACAAAAAAGTGTGTGAGTATTTGAGGTGGTTAAAAACTGACAATATTAATAATATAAATTATCATCATGTTTGTTTTCTTGTTATTCTGTAGATTTGTGCTGCCATCTTGTGGTGCTTTTTCACTGATAAAACATGCTTTTAAACTAATGCATAAGCACATTTTGAAGCCATGCACTGTAGTTCTAAAAAAAAAAAAAAAAAGCATTTTGAATTCATTTTCCATGAGCAAGTCTCATATGAAGGGCGAGGGATCAGACCCATCACACATCTGAAGCTCCAGGTGTGAGGTAATGCCAGAGAAAGTGTCCTGTAGGGGTAACAGGTAACCCATTGCCTCTCCTTGAACAACAAACCCAAAGTAACTATATGATCGGATGTTGAAGATCTTCACACAGTGCACTGGGGAAAAGACACATATGTAGACTACCGGTCAAAGGTTTGATGTCAGTAATATTTTAAATTGTTTTAAAATAAACTTTTTTATTTTAAATAAACTGCATTTATTTAATCAAAAACAGTAAAACAATGTCAAATTGTGAAATTTGATTGCACTATAAAATAACTGTTCAAAAGTAGTTTATAATTTAATTAAATAATTTATTCCAGTGTATTTAAAGATGAATTTTCAGCTTCATTACTCCAGTCTTCAGAGGCACATGATCCTTCAGAAATCAGTCTATTAATTAATTCTTCATCATCATCTTCTTCTTCTTCTTGTTCTTCTTGTTTTTCTTCTTCTTCTTCTTCTTCTTATTATTATTATTATTATTATTATTAATGGTAATAGTATTGAAGGCAATAATGACTGGAGTAATAATTTGATTTGAAACTATGCAATAAGTAATAAATATATTTTTAATAAATAAGTATTTTAATAGTTTAACAATTTTTTCTTTACATTTAATGAATGCCGCCTTGATTAATAGAATTATTTATTTTAAATTAATAAATACAGCTACTAATAATAATAATAAAAAAAAAAAATGACCCCAAAGTTTCGATCGGTAGTGTGCATACATAAATAAATACATACATTCATACATACAGTACATACATGCTTACATGCATACAAACAGTACATATATGCATGCATTCATACATGCACACATACATACAGTACATACTGTACTTACAGCACAGACGTACATACAGTTGAAGTCATAATTATAGGCTAATAATTATAGCCCCCCTGATTTATTAGCCCCCCTGTTTATCCCCCCCCCCAATTTCTAAACATAATAGTTTTAATAACACATTTCTAATAGCTGATTTATTTTATCTTTGCTATGATGACAGTATGTAATATTTGACTAGATATTTTTGAAGACACTTCTATACAGCTTAAAGTGACATTTAAAGGCTTAACTATGTTAATTAGGTTATCGAAAAATATATAGCTTAAAGGGGCTAATAATTTTGACCTTAAAATGGGGTTTAAAAAATTAAAAACTGCTTTAATTTTAGCTGCAATAAAACAAAAAAGACTTTCTCCCGAAGAAAAAATATTAAAAGACATACTGTTAAAATTTCCTTGCTCTGTTTAACATCATTTGGGAAGTATTTGAAAAAGGGAAAAAATTTAAAAGGGGGGCTAATAATTCTGACTTCAACTGTACATACAGAAAGTTTATTCTTTTATTATTAATACATAATCAAGTTTATTGCTTCTAGAAACAATAATTTAACAACATTCTTAGATTAAATTTTTTATGGTGTAATATACCTTTGTTATAGAGTTTGACACCATCGTATTGAATAGACTCTCCCACTGCTCTCCCAACAGGACCAACCAGGTTTCCAGAAAAAGGCGCGTTGATGATGCCATAATTATCACACACGATATCAATTCCTTTGTGGAGACCCAAATCACTGAGGACACAGGATAGGCAAAGGTGAAGTAATATAAACATTTTAATTTGTACATTCCACAAACAGTGAAATAGATTTATTGCTCAACAGGAATGCCATCTTTGCACTTTTCTATGGAAATAACCATTGTAATCTAGCATGCATTTCAACTTAAAAAAGAATTGCATCTCATCATTAGCTCCTTTCACACAGTGGTACCGGTAAATATCCAGAAAACTTCTGGAACGGCTTTACCGGTAAATTCAAAAAAGCGCTGTACACACAGGTGAGGACTTTACGGAATTTTTACGGAAATGACCGTTCACACATCCATTCCAAAATACATCATTAACCAGAAATGACCTCTAAACGGCAGTGCTTGTATTTGTAAACATTTGACTATATTACAAACTCTGTGGATGGAAAAGTATTGTAAACAACTTCAATGAAAACATATTGAGAAACACTTTTGCATGTCGAGATGAACACATTATGTGTGTGTGCTGCCTCAGAGCTTGAAGATAAACAAACAATGGCTTATCATAAGCATTTTATCGATATTTTTACACAGCTGGCATTAAGAAGGAACATAGAAACAGTATCTGACTAACATCTAGCAGCTAAATTTGTCTGGAAATATACTCACAGGCTTTTATTCTCATAAACCGCGCGGACTGACTGTTGTGTTTGGCTATGGTAGATGTCTACGTCAGCACGTTCTAGACGTGCACACGCTCTTTCCGGCAATCTTCCTTCTGCGTTCACACAGCGCAGCATTCTGGCAAATTACCGGTAATGTTACATCTTCTCTTTCCGGAAAATAGCCTAAATTAATTTACTGGTATTTTCAAAAATTTTTGCTTTGGCCCTTCGATCCTTCAGCTCCTCCTAGGTCCTCCATCCACCTAGCTACATCTTGGTCCTTGATACCACCAGCTGTACACTTCTGATTTCCCAGCTCTAATTTGATCCACCAATCTTGCTCTGCTTTTATCTTCAATCCTAAGAGTGCATGGTGGTCCTCGATTTTTCTAGATGTTCCTAGAGTTTCCAGCTCACCTACGAACTTCACTACACTGGAGCTTTTAAAATTGCTCCCTTTTATGCTGCAAGCCACTAATCCGAGTCGAGTCTTGTGGCAGAGCTGTGGGAATGCAGACTTCTAATATGATGTATCATGTAAAATGTTTGAGGAAAAACGTTTGGAATGAAATACCTTCTGGAGTTAAAGCCACCGCAACCATAGCTGTCACAAGCTCGTACTCTGTTATAATGACTACCAGCACACAGAGCACTCCATGCTGAAACAGGAAAACAGAAGTTATTATGGCTCATTTTTCGAAGAAATCACTCAAGTCAAAAATTCAAAGAAACCTCTCAAGTCAATATGGTTTAAGAACACACCTGGCATGCAACACTGGCGTGACTTCTCCCCCCGACATTTATCCTTTAAGTATCTGCCCTGACAGATGTAACTATTTCGTTGACAGATGCCTCCTATGCTTGTACATCCCATGTCGTTTCTTGTCTTGATTTCTTTAGTCCGGTTTAAGACCTCTCTGCTTCTTCCAGTTGAGGTCAGACTCTTATTAGGTTGGGTGATTTTCATTTCCTCCCTCTGAGCTTTTCTTTTTGTAGTGGTCTTATCTTTATCAAGGGAAGTATCCACAAGAAACACTGTAAGAAGTAATATATTGATCAATTATTTAAAACTGAGCCTTGGTTTTAAGAAGTAGGATGTAAATAACGAATCTTACTAAAATATATGATAGAAAACCCATAAGACATTTTTTGAAAAAGTCTTTAATAATTGTTACCTAAGGGGCACCATTTTTTTTAGGTGTGCATTGCATTCGGAGTTGTCAAACAGTTGCACTTAGTGACCTACAGGCACAACCTGTTAGTAATGGCCCATTTCCACTGAGTGGTACGGTACGGTTCGGTTTGGTACGCTTTTATGGCCGTTTCCACTGCCTATAAGCGTACCAAACCAAACCGTACCGAACCACTTTTTCGGCACCCTTTCGAAAGGGTCCCAAAAACGAGAAAGGGTACCAAAAGGTGGAGCTACACGCGCAGCCGAATGCTGATTGGTTACAGAGATACGTCACAAGCTTGTGGAGCTAAACAAAGGATCCGCCATGTTCTAATACACAGCTGAGAGATTACATGGATATAACATTACTATATGCATAAAATAACCAGGCATGGATGACCCGAGCTCAAACAAACCATGTCGTCATCTTGATGAACAGACACAATGCAAAGAAGAACAAAATCTGCCGTGCCCTGTTGTTGCTTTACAAGCCCGTCTAAAAGTGCGAGCGGTATTCGCTTTCTTCCGGGAGCGCGTGATCACATCTATATTTGATATAACAAACTTCTTGAGCTGATGGTAATAACGTGTAACGTTACGTGATTGTTGAAGTGTCTCCGTCATCTGATCCATTCAGAAAGAAAAGGACAAGCGCGAGAGTAAAGCGCGGAAAAAAAGGAGAAACCCGGCAAAACACAGGAGCGAAAGTGTTTAACAACCTGAATCAAACTGCCATGTTTGTCTTTACTTTTTGGATTATTATGAACTGGGAATGACAAAGACTCTTTAGATTACAGAACAGATGAAGGTTTGCTCTGACTGTGGGCTCTATTGCGTGTGTTTTTGAACTCAAATAAGTACTAAATGTATGATGCGTGTAGTTTTACTGTAATTAATAATATATCGGAGACCGTAAGGGGCTGTATGTGTTCATATATGTTGCATTTATATATTTATTTTATTATTATTTTTTTATTATTTAGTTACAGTAGCCTATTTTGCACTGTCATTGATCTGCAGTTATAATCAACTCCTGTTCATAGAAAAGTTAGTAATAAACATTTATAAACAAGTATTTATGTGTATAAAGCATCTGTTTTATGAGAAATGGTGCTCATGAGAAATGGTGCTCACTGTAGACATTTATTCGAGCGAGCATGACGTCGACTTAAACTTTGTCATATACCATGCCCACCAAAAAGGGTACCCTTTGTGGTGGAAACGCAAGCCTGATAAAGGTGACCTGGACCGACCCGAACCGTACCGTACTGTACCAGTCAGTGGAAACGAGCCATAACTGACTTGCAGTGGTAAACACTTTTTTTTTTATCCATCTTTGCAATTGTTTAGTCACTATTGTTTTTCTTCACCTCCTTATTCTCTGCTTAGTTATATCTGACAGAAGATGGGACCCCAAAATATCAACATTTGGAGAGCGATCTTCTCTCCATCTAAATGAAGTGTTGTACTTGCTCTCTCAGGATGGCTGATGTATTAAGCAGTGTGGGAAGAAGTTCTGACATTCAGCCTATACCTCCGACTGGAACAACCCAAAGTTGATGACATTATTTTATGGTGGTTTGGATGAACCTGTATACTGCCAGATGCCCAGAAATACATTCACTGGCAATCTGGAGGACTATATTTTATATGCCCTTCTGCCAAGTTGATCCACTCCCAATAAACCACCCAGTCAGAGTTGAAGTCAATACCCAACAAGATCACCAGTCAAGTGACATCATGGTTGCTGATCCCATGTTAAAATCAACACTTGTCACATACAAAATAAGCACCAACAATGGCCACTAATCTAAGTTTAGCCTTCAACATGGCCACCCATCCCAAATCATCACCTATCAATGCCTTTAGTTCTAAGTCAACACCTATCATGGTCATTCATTCATAGTCAGCACCTGTAATGTGCTCCAGTGCAGAAAGGACACCTGTCACCTGTCATCCTTTCATATACTGAGCTCTGCACCAGAATAAGACACACTGAATTTGTAATAATGACAAAAAATGCTAATTTGTTCATCTCCTGTCTTCAATTTGCAGCCATGCTGCCATTGTAGATGGTCTTTTCTAGAAAATTTTCTTACCCCCTGGTTTCAAATGTGGTCCTGAAAAATCTCAGTTTCAAGGGGTGTCTAGTTCTTCCCCTTAGCCCTATACCTTCAAGATAAAGAGAATTGCGACACCCCTACCCCTTCACGTGAATGGTAAAGCCTAGTTCAGACTGCGTTATTTTAGCCCCGATTTTGGCTCGCCGGCAGGTTTTGAGATATCGCCGACAAATGCCTGAAATCACAGGCAAATCGGTGCTCGTGCACGTGAGTGACAATCACACAGTATGAACTATCAAAGACGCGATCAGAGAGAATCGCCGATGAGCCGCCGATGCCTGCGAGATATTTGGTGTGCTGAATATCTGGAGCTGTCGTCGATTCAAATCATGCCGTGTGAATTGAGTTTACACTGAAAATAACATCAGCCATCGCCTACAGCCAGTGAGAGAGCGGCTTTCACTTGCGTGTGTGTGTGTGTATACCTGCTGCAGGTCAGCGGGAGGCTGGGGGAGAAGTTTAAAGCGCTCTTTTTCGGTTTATTTGGACCCACGAAATGGAGGAAAAACTAGTGGAGGTTTGACAGGACTCAGGAGCACCCGTGTCTGTTTGACGTTTCATACAGAAAGAAATTAGTTTATTATCAACCTTGAGGAGAAATGGCTAATTCCCTTTAAACCCAGGTGAGCAAATATGTACATGTTCTACCCCATCAAAGGCTTCTTTCTTATTATGTAGTTAATAACAAAAGATATACTACGGGTTTTTGGCTGTGAGACGTAGTTTGGACTAAGTTGTCGGCGATTCTTCCTATAGTAAAGTCATGCAATGTGAATGTCCCTGTCGCCGATTCATCTTGCAGTGTAAACAAAGCAGCGACGAAAGCAAGCCCAGATAGTCATGCAGTGTGAAAACATCTGTGACACGACTACTTTGAAAATCATGCAGTCTGAACTCTGCATAAGGGGAAGGGCTAAGGGGTAGAATTGGGACTGGGCTTGAGTAAAACTGAAAAAAAGTTATATTGTTACCCCTTCTTTCATGTCATAAGATAAACAGATGTTATAATAAACTTAAGTCTTTTCTACATTTTGGAATGTTGTTTTTGTGATCATTGAGATATATGGTTTGAAATGTTACTTTTCAAATGGGGTGTACTCATTTGTACATTCTTCTTTGTACATAGTTCACAAAGTTTACATTTTAGATCCACCATTACTTAAAAATTAGTCTCAAATGTATATCTTCATGAACAAAAAAGTGGAGACCTGAATGGTGTAGGTTCTATATTAAGAAGCAAATGCAGATGGTTAAAGCGTCAGCATACTCACAACATGCCAGGAAAATCAAGGAGGATTTCATCAGCATCTTTTCAGGTCAAACATCTGGAAAAGAAGAAACCAGCTGTGACTAAGGCTTAACGAAATCATTATAGTCATTGTTTGAAGCGAATATTCTTCATAGCAACAACCATACGCGAAGTTTAAAATGAAAACTTACCCAAGAGTAGAAAACCCAAAGAACAAAATGAGCCTTGTGTCGGCAGAAGCAAACGTCAGCTTACAGTATGCCACAGGATGAGTCTCTTTGCCAATGTTGATACTGGCTTCAACAGACATTTCCTTTGCCTCATATGTGAGACACTCTTTTAGAAAACAAATTATAACAAGAAAAACTTGATAATGCAACTCATGTTTCATTAGTTTCAGTTTAATCCTCCTTACACTGGCTGCCGGTTAAGTTTCATATTGAATTTAAAATATTGCTTCTTACCTATAAAGCTTTAAATAATCGAGCTCCTGTTTATCTAACCAACCTTCTGTCTCCCACTCCAACCCACTCTTCAAGATCTCAAAACTCAGGGTTTCTGGTAGTACCTAGAATAGCAAAGTCGAGTAAAGGAGGTCGAGCCTTCTCATTTATAGCTCCTAACCTCTGGAATAGCTTTCCTGATAACGTCCGAGGCTCAGATACACTCTCGCAGTTCAAAACTAGATTAAAGACCTATCTATTTAGTAAAGCATACACTCAGCAGTATTATACATGAATGTGCCCCACATAGGTTTCTACATCTCGTTTATTAACACTATGAACAGCAGCTATGCTAATTATTCTCTTAATTCTCTATTTCCACCTGGGGATACTCATCCTGAGACCCTCAGACCACGCAGCGCCACTGATTTGATCCAAGACCAGCGACGAGATGATCCCAAGGATTTCATATCCTGGACCAAGCCGTATCCTGAACAGCTACTGTGGTGATCATGGAGGAGTGGAAAACATGAGACTGATTCCTGTTACGCTCCAGGGACTGACGAGTCTTCGCTGAGGTCCAGCTTCCAGCCTCCAGCACTTAGACTGCAGCTCTGCACAAGACGTTTGGCCAGTGGAGAAATTGTCGTGCCCATCTGAGCCTTGCTCATTCATTCATTTTCTCGTCGGCTTAGTCCCTTTATTCATCCGGGATCACCACAGCGGATTAAACTGCCCACTTATCCAGCAAGTTATTACGCAGCGGGTGCCCTTCCAGCCACAACCCATCCCTGGGAAACATCCACACACACATTCATACACTACGAACAATTTAGCCAACCCAATTCACCTGTACTGCATGTCTTTGGACTGTGGGGGAAACCGGAGCACCCGAAGGAAACCCACGCGAAGGCAGGGAGAACATGCAAACTCCACATAGAAATGCCAGCTGAGCAGACCCAGCGACCTTCTTGCTGTGAGGTGACAGCACTATCTACTGCGCCACTGCCTTGCCCTTAGCCTGGCTCTCTGGAGTTTTTTTTTTTTCTTCACTTTCGCCAATTGGTGAAGTTTTTTCCTCGCTGCTGTCGCCTCTAGCTTGCATAGTTTGGGATCTGTAGAGCTGAGCATCGATGGATTGCTTTTAAGTGTTTGGACTCTCAGTAGTGATTATTACCCACTCTGAACTGAGCTAAACTGAACTGAACTTTAGAGTTCGTTCACATTTAGACACATCGCCGTGCTGCTGTGTTAGCATAAATCCTCCAGATTACCAACAGGGCTAATGGTTAAAATAGACAGGGCAAGAGACCTGCTGCACAGAGTCTGCATTCAGACCCAGGGATTGAGGGAAAAGTCCTCATTTATAGTGTTTATATATACACGATTATCTTTATAATGATATAAATTGTGGTTATTTGTTTATGAAATTACGATTAACAAATGTTGCAGGGCATTAAATTACTGTTTATTTCTTTGCATTTTATCTTTGTAAACTATAAAATCATGCGTCTCCTCACAGTTTGTGTCTCATTTTGTGAGCTAACTGACAACAGTTGTTCGTTCCCCTCCTTCTCCCCTTCTGGCCACGCCCACTCCTGCTCTTTGCTCGCAGAACTCCACTCCCATTATGATGCATCTTTTGAAAAATTTCTGAGATAGACCTGAACCGAAAGTAAGGGGTGTCACGACCCTTTAAAAAAGCCTTAAAGTCATCTCTCTCAGGTGTAATTTGCGTTCAAAGTCTTTTTACAGTTCAGTTTTAGCAATTTTTAAGTTTACAATTGCATTCCCTTCGCAGTGCACTTTGAAAACATTGATGTCATTTTGAACACAGCCTCATGACGAAAGCTATTGGTGGCCTATTATTTAAAAGTGGAATTTACATTATGTCTCCAAAGCTTGTGAAAACAAAAACACAGCATATGTTTATGCTTTTAATTTATAGTAGGTTATTTATTAAGTATATTTACTGCATATGACATGGGCCTGCTGGTTAGAACATTTCTGCAGTGGTTTGCATGCGTCAAATTATAGTAGCCTTTAAAAAAAAATGAATAAATAAACAATATGATAGTTCAGACGCAAGTTACATCGTTGTTTGGGAAACGCACCCCTGTTCAACGTTGTTAAGCTGGCGAGGGAAGTTTTCAGATCCTCCACGCTTTGATTCTGACCTGAGGATGTGGATCTACTCATAAACCCTCACAGGCATAACTTTATTTCTTTATATGCTTGGAAATATTCCTCCAGCGTCACATCTGATCTATTTGTTTGCCCTTTGCATCTGTAAAGCCTCATTCAACGTTCTACCAACTCCTCCATTTTTTATAAGCCACGTCATCATTAGCATTAACTTTCAAATAACCTTCCGCTACTTTTATGCCCTTTAGTACTCACAGTTTATACGTGTGTGTGGGTTTGTACTGCTGCAGGCTGTTCAGGGAATGTGTTGCTTTAGGTGTATTAATTCAGAGAGTAAGATATTGTCTTTCTCCTGGACCCCAAGGCTTTCTGACGCTGCACAAGCTGAATTTTAATACAGATGAGACACCTCTGCTGTGCAGTTTAATGTCTTCATGGTGCGTGGGCTTTGATTGCACATGTGTTTACTGCACAAAGTTGTGCTCGAAAAATCAATATGGCATCCAGCAATGAAATTGGAAGGGGATTATAGTGTCAGCCAGGGGGTGCTGAAGAGAGACGACACTTTAGTTAACCCAAATTAACCCGTCTGAGAGACACAATAACTCCACTCAAGGGCTCTCTTTGATAAACATTTGTGCAAATGGCATCGTCAAGATGTTGGATGAAGCCCATGGAGAGGGTCACGTGGCATTTCGCTCAAGCTCTTTTTAGTTGGTTTGAATTGGCGAGCAGAATGTGTGATGATGCCACAAGTGTTTCCTAGCAACAGTGTTCCACCCCTCCTCCTCCTCCCTTCAACTGCAGCAATGCACCACTTTCCGTGGCTCTCTGAAATGCATTTCAATTTTGAGACTCTTGTCACAGCCTCTCTTGGAGTGTATAACGCTGGTGCTGGCCGCCACACAAGCTCAATTTGGTTTAGATTGTATTCTGAAATGGGTCAGCTCAGCCTCATCTCATGGGAAAATGTAGCTATTTTGTGTGTTTATCAATAAAGTGGCTTTTTCGTACAAACTTATGGCGTCACATGAACTGAAATGTGCCCCCAATGCCACTGTTTACACTTTTAATTTGTATGCCAATAGTTTAAAGAGAAGTGTCAAATACTTGAACATGCCTATAGACCAGAGGTGGGCTAAATTGGGGCTGCTGAACACCTTCATCCAGCCCACGAGGGAGTTTCTGCCTCCGAGTTGTGATTTGGTTTCAGAATTAGTAAGTTGATGGTGCAACACAAGTGAACGCCATTTGATGACGGTACAATTAGCCAACAGTAGAATTAGAATACGCTCTCTGATATGTCAAAATGAGTGAGGCAAAAAAAGAAAAGTTGACTCTGAATGTTGTGTTTAAGGAAGAATGGACAGCAAAATACTTCACCAGTATCAGACAGAAAGCGGTATGTCTAATATGCCAAGAACCTCAATCTGTGGCGCAGTAGGTAGTGCTGTTGCCTCACAGGAAGAAGTTTACTGGTTCCCGTGGGTTTCCTCCGGGTGCTCCGGTTTCCCCCACAGTCCAAAGACATGCGGTACAGGTGAATTAGGTAGGCTAAATTGTCTGTAGTGAATGGGTGTGTGTGGATGTTTCCCAGAGATGGGTTGCAGCTGGAACGCCATCCGCTGCAAAATTTATATTATTATAAAGATAATCGTGTTCAGATAAACACTATAAATGAGGACTTTTCCCTCAATTCCCGGGTCTGAATGCAGACTCTGTGCAGCAGGTCTCTTGCCCCGTCTATTTTAACCATTAGCCCTGTTGGTAATCTAGAGGATTTAGGCAAACACAGCAGCACGGCGATGTGTCTAAATGTGAACGAGCTCCTGATAAAAGACAACGTCCACCATTCTCCAATTCTCGTACTGCTCTCCCATTAAAAATGCTTGCTGCACACAAACAGCTTTGCTGTATCAGTCCTGACAGGATCGCAGGGAAAAACATACAACAAACCCTGTGGATCATAGAAACAAACACATACGACCCTTCATGAACAGCTAAATACTGTGTGCTGTGGGTCCGTGTCTCACAGCTTGGCACTGGCAGGTCTGCCTTGCCTTCGGAAAGCACGCGCAGTCACGAATAATTAAGAAGCCGGCTCTTCTCATAGGATAAGAAACTCCGCGCTGAATAATAATGAGAAACCAACTTGTCATCTTTGCACTTGCAGTTTTGCGCTACGTCGCCGATTTTGATCCCGCCCCAAAAATCATTTAAAACCCAGAAGATGAAATTAGCTGACAAAAGCTCAAAAATATCCCTACAATTACAGCTAACAGGTGCTAACATTGTCTTAACTGATGCTCAACACACACAAATCTGTTAAAATCTCAAAAAAAGTACTCGAGGGTTTCGTGAACCTTTAAAGATCATCATAATGTATCCATGGCAGCAACACAGAATCATCGGGAGTGGAGCTGGAGCTCAGACAGCCATTTATTGGACATAAAATCAAACATAAAATGTCCAAGGGGGGAAAGTGTCCAAATAAATGTGTCCTTGTTGTAACAGGGAAGTCATGAAAGCAGCTAGTGTGATCACAAACGGTTTAGTACATGAGATTAGTATCGGCAACCTTTCCTTATGAATCATTTCCAACTCACTCCTCTGGTGAAAACTAAACACCTGAAGGGGTTTGAAACATCTGTTAAACTTATTCATTCATTCATTTTCCTAAGGCGTAGTCCCTTTATTCATCAGGGGTGGCCACCGCGGAATGAAATATCAACTATTCCACCCTAGTAGCAAAGAATTCTGGCCCAGATTTGGCATAAAGCTGGCACAGCAGGCATTCATCCAGCACTGGCATACAGCATATGGGCCAAACATGGCCTGGGTTTGGCAGAGGTGGCACCGTTTTTAAGGCGGCACACAAGATTTGGGCCAGATTTAAAAATTTGATAAGTGGGCCATGTGAGTTTGGCCAGTCTTGACCCACATTTAAAATACACTAAAATCATTTTTGAATAAAGAAAAAAAATTCTACCAATCAGGTCACTTTGAGAAAAAGCGTGCGCATAGTGTGCCTAAAGCGCATCACTCCATGGGTTTATCAATTTCATTGCAATCATGACACACCAACCTATCTGGCCCAGTTCAGGCCCAGTTATGAGTTATTAACTTGGCTGAGACTTGGCCCAGATATGGTCCGTGTTTGGCCCTTGTCTGGAAGCCAGATTTGGTCCAGTCATGTACCGTAATTCACTGTGGCATGTGGGCCAAGCAAAACCTGATTGTGTGGGCCAGAGCTGGGCCAGAGAAATTTTGCTATGTGGGTAGTATATGCTTTACACGGCGGATGCCCTTCCATCTGCAACCTAGCACTGGGAAACAGCCATACACTCTCATTTACACACACACTCAACACTAAGGCCAATTTAGTTGATCCAATTCACTTATAGTGCATATTTTTTGTAAGAAAAGTATAAGAATTATATTTTAGTTTGAGCCCATCCACTACTCAACTGTGCAAATGGATGATTTGTTTCGTTCAGTGGAAAGAAGGATTTAATATATGCTTCACTGTAATTGTTGTATCACAAACCTCTGTCTTATATTTGCAAATGTGTCATAATTATAAAGATTACATCTTGAGAATCAGATTTTTCCTTGGTGCTGATGTGCTTTTCTCCGTCTCAATTGCGGCAAGTTCAGGTGAGGGAGAGTTTAAGCAACCCTGGCAGGAAAAGGTAAATTTAGATAAAGAAAATCTTAACATAACATAAGTTTTATCCTATCAGTGTCGTAATAAATGCCCTTAAATAACGAAGCCTTTGACAGCAAGCAGCAGTGTTTCATGAGATAAGAATGAGAATGGCGTGCGGTGGTGTCATTTTTTTTCTGTCAGACAATACGTTTTTTTTTCCCACTGTAAAGTTATTTTATAAAGAATTTATTTCACATTTAATAATGATTGATGAGTACATATTACTAGCA